TATTCTTCTGGTTTTCTGCCGTTGTTTTCGTTGTTGATCATGTGGGCGAGATCTGAGCACAGCAGAGAAATGACGCGGTGGTGGAGGACGGTAGGCACGTGAATCCAAACGGACATCTGCAATAATTATCCGACAACAGCGATTCAATTGGTATAATCCGTGTACATACCGTGCAATAGTGACTGGCACCACATCAGTATTTGAAGAATATTTGTTCGATTTGGGTTATGTCGGAGCAAAAACCGACCCTTAATACCGCATTCATGACCACGGGTCGTCGTTGGACATCCCCAGCGAGAGGATCGTACTAGGCCGTTGAAAGAAGAGAAGGGGATGGGGATAGTATTTACCTTAGTGAAAAATACTTCCAGTTTTGAATTTTTCCCATTTCTCCCCGTTTTCTCCCATTTTTCCCATTTTTTCCCCATTTTCATATGAGCTATATGTAGTCCGGAGGAGGGAAAAACTCACCCATGCGCGTATGCGGCGCGGTTCCTTCACGGCGCTGTGCTCCAATCCAGCAGCCTCTTTTATGTGGAAGGAAGAGGAGGGAAAAGTAGAGAGAGGAAGGGAATTGAACAGATAGTGGGTGCATATGTGAGTTAGTGGTAGTGGTAGGAGATCACAGAAAAGTCGACTATCACGAATTACTTCAGTGAATGGCAGAAATGGCGGTATAACCTCGTCATCCGGGCAGTTGATTAGGGCGGTCGTCAACGGGCCGCAGCGCGTGCCAGGAACTATTTGCTTTTCCAGGCTAATTTAGTCATTTTTTCCACCTTGTGAAGATAAGGAGCTGCTAATCTGGGAAAAAGTAGCCAAAACAGTGAAAAGTTGGAAAAAATGACTAAATTAGCCTGGAAAAAGCAAATAGTTCCTGGCACGCGCTGCGGCCCGTTGACGACCGCCCTAATCAACTGCCCGGATGACGAGGGTAGTTCCCTTCGATTGTGAAACGACGCAAGCAGCTTTTACACGAAAGTTCAAGCTGAGGTTTGGCAAATTGCCAACAGTTGGTTGTGACCTTATAACGCTATAACGTCACGTCCCATTCGAAGGGAATCATTCTGCCAGTTCCGCTGTTGACTGAAATAATACGCTCTGATTCTCGACTTTTCTGTATTCTCTGCTCACCATTACCACTAACTCACCTATGCGTTCACTATTTGTTCAATCCTCTTTTCTCTCCTCCTCCTTCCACATAATGGGGCATAAAAGGGGCGCTTCTGGTTGAAAGCACAGTGGTGGAGGCGCAAGCGATCACCCTTCGCCCGCCCGTCGCCGCGGTGCCGTGAAGAAACCGCGCCGCATACGCCACGGGTGAGTTTGTACACGGAGCCTACTAGTCGCTAACTCCTGGACACAGGAGGATCATCGTTGGGCGATCGCCAAAAGGCGCGCACGGGCCGTCGTACGGAGTCGCCGAACATCCTCACTCCATGAAGTGCCCTGTCCCTGCACACGGCGAATCCGCGACCAGATTTCCTTCCAGGGCGCATCATGTGCCAGTCGAGCACAGCAGGCGGGCCCGCACAAGAGCCTCTCCCTCCGCCCTGTTTTCATGCGTTCACCAACACGAACCGTTTCAGGATCCGTCCATGCGCCAAACTCGAAATTATTCTTCCGCCAGATTGTGGTCTTCGAATACATGGGCCCACGTCCTTTAATTACGTCATAGCACATTTGCCAAATCCACCCACACCTTTTCTCAGAGAGCTGCAACTTTCTTAAATGTGGACCGTTAGGTAAAAGAAAAGCGGGCGGCCCCGGACCGCCACGCCCCCTTTTCAGCGCGATAGTAATTCTAGCATGGTTCGCGCTATACATGTGAGCTCGGATTTTGGACTGATGATTTTGCTGCGTTCTCTCAGAAAAGGAACATTCCATCTCATTTCTCAATAGTGTTATTCTCAGTTGTGATGAGATGCTCTCCCATCCTGGCCATGAATACAAAAAAAGAAGAAGTTTCGGCAGACTTCAGACTTCACACAGCCGCGCCTTCGATCGCGCCGTTCGACGCGATCTATGCAGTAGAAAAGGTATGCGCATCGATCGCGAAGAACGCGCGACCGGAACCCTGCCGTCGCGAAGTCTGAACGCTGCCTTATGGAGACCCTAATATGAATACTCACGTGAAATCCAGGAAGCCAGTGCAAGTTTTTATCTCGTCGCTTGTCTCATGACGAGCTTCTCGAAATGCGAAAGGACAGGTAGGAGGTGGTTGTTCGACATTTCTGTTATCGCAATCTGAAATCTTTGAGTGTAGCGGATTACCTATAGAGACGGGCAAAGAGGACGCGCATGAGACGGCGCCAATTAAGTTGTACGATTAGCGCCGTGCATTTGTAAACTTCTTGGATTATGGAAATGATAACAAAGCTCTTCACACCTGTGCATTTTTCCGGAGCGTCACTGGAGCTTATTATGGTTTGCAGTGTACTCGTTTCGTGAAATACTTCTTCCATTGGGCAGCAATACAGACCATTAAGAGTAGCTTGGCAAGCGTATCCAGCCTAGATATAGTCATTACCACTGACGTCAGTCGGGGCCTGTCAGCGGGACGTGGGACCAGCCCGTTTTCCATCGAACATTACAGCCTTCGCAACGAGTGGTGGGAACGGAGCCAACCGCCACGGACACGCCCGATGGTACATGCCTTAAGGGTCAGCGTCATCTCTCGGTAAGCGTTGAGTGCGTTATGGGTACAAGCCTCGGCTCAGGCTTCTGTCTATTCTTTATTACTAGGAGTGCTAGCAAGGCACAGTTACGCGTTCACAAGATTTCGAAGCATGAGTATTCAAGTAAGTAGCTCGATGAGAGAAGGAAGAGGGAAGGACCGTCGGAGATGTCCTAGATTGAATTCCCTGACAACCGAGCTGTATGAGCTGTATGATCACTCTCTAAAGAAAACTCGTGTTTGACGAGTTCCCTTTAGTTCCGTTTCTTTTTCTTTTATCAGGGAGCCCTCAAAAAATTGAATGTCTGGGAGCAGAAAGGCGGGGCGCGTGCCGTCTGTCGCGACAAGTGGCTTCCCTAACACGCTCTTCTGAGCGTGAAAATGATACATACACCTTGCTTGCCGACAGGACTATCGTGTCCAGAAACGGCGCTTGCACATCAAAGGGGAGTGACTAAGCGGCAGTATCATGATGGAACAACGTTTATGGACCGTCCACAAGATTACGGTTTATGCGTCTACTCCAGTAACCTTAATTTTCTTGTGGAGCGCCTCTTTCCCTCACAACTTGTCAAAATGGCACATTTATGTGGCTGGTCAAGCATATTTTGCGTGAAACAGTCGTAAGTTCGTGGATAACAGAGTTGAAAGCAGAACTTTATGTGCTAGGTGACTCACATGAAGGAAAATTGCAAAGTTTACCGTCTAAAATTTCCCAAATAAGACTCTTTTGCCAGAGAATATGAATGAAATTGATGGGGATATCTGGCGAGACACCAAACAGGAACAGCGGGAGAGCATGCAAGTGGGCAAGACTACAGACAGTACATACTACGGAAGGGGCCAGTTAAGCGATCCTGCGCCTTAGCTTCCTAGCTCTCAATTTGCTGACGCGAAACTTCCTCAAGGATGCAGGCTGCGCTTCACTCTACCTTCCCCACAAGAGATTTCTATTCCCATTAGTGTTCGTAGGACGTGCCTTGAAATGATGTAAAAAGCCCAGTAAATGCACGGAAGGGTGAATAGCAAACTAACCTTTGGGCAAGGTGCTCCGATCTGTGGGCATCGCAAGAACTCCCCATCCATCAACATAGGAACAGCATCTCCATAGCATTTCGGTTCACTAAGACTGCAATTTCTTAGGTTGAGAACACCTGCACCTTCATGTTGAAAGGTAAATTGATTACAACAAATAAAGCTATAAAAGACAGGAAAAATTGAAGAAAATAGGGAGGAATTATCGTCTCAAACAATCTACATATATGGTTGATGACCCATGGACTTTATTGAGTCGTTAGTTCTACAGCAACAGTGCACTGGACAAATCGCAGTTCGACTAAATGGGGAGGGGGGGGCATTTTACTAGTTCCGATCAGTCACTACCGATGCCTTTCGTGAATATCTGCAAATTTCTGTAAAGCTACACCACAGCAGGAACTTCTTTCACGGTTGCCAAGGGTCTACAGGCCTTAGCAATGTAAGACGTGCAAGTCGAACGAGAAAGCAAACTTGCGAAGGTGCAAAATGCCCCTCTCAAGCTGGACAGCGCCGTTCTGTGAAATTTATCGCTTTTCTATCTTTGAGCTAGTAAACGAATAAGTGAGTGTATATAAATGTAATTCTTCGCCATGAAAATGATACTGTAGAGAAAAACTAAGCTCACCTTATTGTTGGCGATGGTGGAAACACTACCATTGGTGAAGTGATAGGTATTGCAGCAATGCTAAGTACTTCTGCAGGAGGAATTAATGTAGTGGGAGGGCTTTTCGTGAATGTCCTGGCCCTTGCCGCACAGGGTACTTGTGCACTGGGCTCGACTATTTCACAGCAGAGATATCCACTTTGATCGTCGCTTTCCTCACATTCGTAGCCAGCACTGCACTCGCGTGAAAATTGCGAACAAGTGGCTCCGTTGCTAAAAAAAACGAATTTTAAAGTGACCGAGAACACGCGTAAACACGTTTTCCGAAGGGGCGCGCTGAAGGAGATGGGGTTACGCGGCAAAGCTATATCCCGCCCACCTGGTCGTCTGCGCTGTGTTGGGGCTGAACTTGAAGAAGAGGGGATCAGTGGGAGGTGCAGACAGTAAAAAAGTGCACGCAACTATGCGGCCTTCCACCCATTCTTTAGCAGCGTCTAAAACCTTCGCTGTTGGCGCGGCGACTCGCTACAATTGCTAACAGCGCTATGAGCGGCTTGAAGACGGAATTGATCGCGAGGCCAAGCCGCACGTGTTTTGAGAGAGTATAGGATACAGAAGGGCAGTCGCTGTCTCTACACGGCCTCGTGTTCTCCCATTCTCTTACACTCTCTCAAAATCCTAGCGGCTGGGGCCAATCGATACCAAACTGCTTGACTAGGCCATGATTATCTTAGTAACCCTCCAGTTTCCCCATTCTATTTCGAAACAGCCATCGCAGACAGCGAAGTCAAACGAAACCAGCGCGGTTGTCCCCGCCCTCCCCCCGCCCCCCTGTGGCGCCGTTCGCGTCTATCGCACGGCAAACTGTAACGCGTTAGGCTTCGTTCATACTTTGCGGCGGCTCCACCGGCATCTACCAGCGTCTAGCAGAGGAGAGTATGGCACGATAGGAGGGTAGGAGACAGCTGTTAGAGTATGGGAAGATGGGAGGGTGGCAGACTGCTGGTAGAGAGTAGCGATGGACCGTCGAAAAGGAGGGTACCACCCGTCTGCTACCTCATATCACGCTATACCTCCCTCTCTCGGACGCTGGTAGTCGCTGGTGCACGCTGGCAGACGCTATACGATACCTATACTTCTGAGGTTCTCGAAGCGCTCCTAGACGCTTTTGAAAGGTGGGAGACACTGGCAGACGCTAGACCGATACCTATACCCACCCAGTCGCTCAAAACGCTACTGGATGGTAGACGCTGGTGGACGCTGCCTCAAAGTATGAACTCATCTTACAGCGCGTCATCGCGAAGCCTGAACCTTGTAATAGCGCTAAAAACTGTACTAACAGAACTCGGCTCACCTTGCACGATTGTCAGGACACCGTTTCGGCACCACTATCGGACAGCACCATCGCTGACCATAGATTGTCTCGCATTTTTCGTCTTTGCGACATCCACCAGCACAAATGGCCCGAGCTCTCTTCCCACTTGAACATTCAGCAAGAGAGCAGCAAACGCGGCTTCCGAATGGTGACAGTGAGCACTCATACCTGACCAGAACTTGTAGGACCGCTCAGAGATATTCTTTGAATAAGCGTGAAATCTTACCCCTCACTGCATGGCACCTTTGCGCAATCTCTAGCCAACAAACCGTCCATCTCGACAGAGCTACCTGGACCACAGAATGTGGTTGAGGAGTGGCAGCAGATACTGACGGATGACGAGCGGAATGGAGCACAAATCCTACGAGCTCAAAATTAAAATCCGAATGTCTTAATGGAGCTGAGGCAGTTGTTAAATTCACAATCCACGCTGATTATATAGGCGGAGACATCCAGTCACTGCCTTTTTTCCATTGCTGCGCCCTATTCCGCTTCTCTCTTGGGTGCACCTTGACCTCCAACACGGCACAGAGAGCCGCATTGAAAGGGAGGAACAGCTTCTGACTGTCTCCTCTCACACGGTCAGCGCGGACTGCAGGTAAAAAAATGCGATAATTAATGTATATGGTTTTGGAATCTTTCTTTGATTTCTTCCAGTTTCTCTTACCCATCTTCACAGTCCGAGCATAGCCTTAAATGCTGTCGATCGTTACTGATCACTGGGTGGCTGGCTGAAAAGGTTTTGATACTGTGAAATAAGGAATTTCTCAACATGGTTGATATCGTCGCAAACAATCGGGGAGGTGTTAAAAGGGTCGGAATGAGCCCGCTCCTGGGTGCCTTTTCTAACAATGTGATTGGTCAGTGAGAGAACTAGCAAGAAAGCAGGATGAGGTTGTGAAAACGTCGCGGAGATGCTCATCCCAGGCCTAATGGCACCCCCACCCCCATTGTGATTGTGACGATATCAGCGGTAGATGCCAGATAAGTTGCCTTACGCATACCTGGACAGACAGCCTTTTCCTTCGGAACAGTGGCAGCACGAGGAGGTCGCGCTGAGCAGCAAATGTGCATTGCCTCATGCATGCTTGGCACACACTTATGACCTTCGGGACAGTTCTGTTTCACTCGCGGAAGGCACGAATACCGTGAAGGGTACCAGAAAAGAATTCAGATTGAACAGCATCAAATCAAGCATGTAATTTTTTGTTAATGACGAATTATACGCTAATCCAGTCAGTGAGGGGGAGAGACTCATGGCTATGGTACCTTCCTCATTGGCGCCCAGCTATCTCCTTTTTCGCCTGCTAGAAGACGAATGCACAATGGTCTTGAGTCGCCGCCCATTCGGCGATCGCGGAAAGTAGCTTATACTAGGGAGGGTGTTCACTTCGACCTGAGGGTCGATGCCCTATGAAGCGCGTGCACATAATGTGTTCGCTGGGGATGATGGGGCTTGTCAAGTGGGATTGGTCTGGAGCGACGCAACCCGTTTTTTAGCGAGCGACAAAACTGTAGCTTCGTTTGTATCAGTTGTTTTTCCTCAGTTGTTGTCGCACCCGCTCCAACAGCTGGTGAAGAAGAAGGTGTGTGGCGATTCTATCGTCGATGATAAGTAGGTCGCCGCGCTGGTGGGCGCCGCGTACGAGTCCTGCTGCGTCGTGCTCGTTCAAATTGTTAAAATGATCATCAAGCCATATTGTTTATGTTAATCCTGTACTGCTTTTCCCATTTTCCTATGATGATCAATGATTGTTTTTTCCGCATTCAAAAGTAAAGGGGTGTAAGACTGGTCCCACGTTATTTGCTCAAAATTACTGATCCAATTTTGGGCTTTTCGGAACTTGTGAATACGCGGTCTCGCGCGAGGCCGCGACGCGATGTGCGCGACGTGACCTGACTTGCACGATTATCGCCCGGTCCTGGTGGAAGAACAGGCTGGCGGCGCACCAAACCCAGCCTCACTGACACGCCCCGTCATCTACAGCAAACAAAACTGCAACCCCTCTGTTTCGGAAAATATGGACTTGAAGTGCCAATCGTGCCCTGAAGGCATGGATTTGCTCATGACCTTCCATCCCAAACAAATTGAAAAAGCAAAGATGCTTGAGAACACTCTTCGAGCCCTATGTGTCCTTTGATAAGAACGCGACTCTGGTTCATTACCAGTTCTCCCTCCCAAGTTTTTCCCTAGTTTAGCAGTAGTATTAAATTGATAAGAGCCTGAGGAATACTTACTTGTATATGAAGTGATTGCACTGCGGTGGATGTGTACAGCAAATTCCTTGTATACAGCTGGAACCTCGAGGGCATTTGCCGCCGTCGCATGTTCTCACGTGGCGAGCTCCCGTGAGAGGCATTAAACCAGGTGGGCAAAGCTCTGAACAGAGTGTGCGTTGAAAATCAATCCTTCTGCACAACAACTTTAAACTTGCTCTGTAGGCCTTCGTGAACTGTACCATGTCGACCTGTGAGCGCAGAAAGTGAGGTACTAGTGCCCTTATTCTCGCGCTACTTTTCTGATCCGTCGAGCAATAGGCGCTGCGGTGAGGAAGGACTATCTCCTCCCACATGGTCAGCGTGCACTGGTCCTTCGACTATCCAAAAAAACGAATGTATTCAGCTTTGGAACAGCGCGGCTGCCCAGTTTATTTGAACAAGACGTGAGATTCATTTTTCGTGTATAGTCGTTTGGAACAACTCTATTCGATCGAGAACTGGATAAAGACATGAGTACAGTCAGGGCATATCATTGGTTGGGGATTTCGGTCGAGTCCGTGCGACCCATTCTAGTTCCCTCTTCTGATCGTGCTTGGAGCGATGGGGGAGGGGGGACAAAAATATCCCTTGAGTGCTGTTGTTCCAAAACAGTAATATCCTATCAAGAGCGCAGCAGCCGCTACTCCGGTATCAAAGCCCGTGACACACTTTCCGTGCTGATTCTGGCACAACTTGCCGGATACAGAGTTCACCAACCAGCTTTCCCGTTGAAATTATATATACTAGAAGTGAAACGGGAAATCGTCTCTCCGACCTCGCACTAGCGTGGAGTTCCAGCTCAAAATAATTCACCTTAATATTTTCTGAAAGTACTGCCTAAGCCTATCAGTCACTTGAAGGGGACCAAGACTTCTACGTTTTTCTCTGCATGCTTCGACTACCTGCTAGTTCTCATCCATCCGTAATCTCCTTGTTGAAATAAGACAAAAGCTCGGTTCCGCCCGCTCGTCGATTAATTCAGTCACCACATTGATAAGATAGCGGCTAGGTATCAGTTTAAATTCTGTAGAAGTTCTTGAAAAGGATCAAAATTTTTCAACATTGACTTTCTCACACGATTTGCTGCCACAGTTGCTGAGAACAGAGAACTTTCGCTCGAGAGTCTGTTACGAGAAATATCGGCGAAATGGCGGTGTTAGTCAATTCTCCCATGTTCCCTGCCTTAACAGATGTCGGGGCGGAGCTGCTAAACAGGTAGGTGGCGCCGCTTCAAGACATATTTCGCCGTTGTAGGTCGTGGGTAATGAGGTCCAAGAAGATAACTGTGTCTGCTTGATGACATGCTGACGATAATTTCAAGAGAGTCGCGAAGAACTGTTGGATTTGTCGGGATAAACTGAAAAGAAGGCGAGAGAGCACACAAGCATGTTAGACGACAGGAGACGAGTGATCCAATATAAGGAATCACTGCCACTAGGGTGCAGCCT